TGTGTGTACACATATAAGCGAAATTCAAAAAGTTTGTGGAAAATGGAATTAAAATATAATGGAGTTTTTCCATGAGTTTTTTAAAGCCCGCTTACGTGTGTGTAGTACTAGCAGCAGCAGAAATCACGGTAATAACATTAGTTATTACTATTGTTAAGTGCTGTCGATTTGGTTCCGACTCATAGCAACCCTGTATAGGGTTTCGGAGGAGCTGCTGGTGAGTTGGAACGATGATCTTGTGGTTCAAACTGACCTTGTGGTCCAGTGCTTGTCCTACAGCGCCACAGCAGGTTGCTATTTGTTATAAAGCACAATGAGTTGGTTCCAACACATAGTGACCCTGTATAGGGTTTCTGAGGCTCCAAATCTTTTAGAAAGCAAAAAGCCTTATCTTCCTCCTGCAGAGTGGCTAGTGGGGTTGAACTGCCAAGCTTGTGGTTCACAATCCAGTGCTTAACTGAGAGTGATAAATGCAGAAGAAAAATAAAGGGAATATGAAGAGTGAATTCAGAGGCTTGTACCTGCAGATGGAGTAATCAAGGACTCACTAGAAGACGAATTTGTATAAAGACCAGAAGGAAGTGTTCCAGAGTTAAGGAAAGGCAGATGCAGAACTCCTGAGGTGCCAGTTTGCCGGCTATGTTGAAGAAGCTGAAGGTCAATGTGGATGGAGTGTAGTGATATGGAGGGTGAGTACTAGGGAATGAGGTCCAAGCATCTTTGTTGAGAGGACAAATGACATTGAATCTGAGTGGTTACAGAAGGGTGCTCACTGGCTTTTTCTGGGTGAGATGGGAGGGCATTGGAGAACTTTACTGTCACTGCTCCTGCCCTAGACTAATTTCAGTTAATTTTTTCCCCTAGAGTTCATGCCTCTTATGCTTAGTTAGATATTTATAATTGTAATCCAGAAGAAATGATGACAAGACACGGAATACACATATGTATGTATATGTATATTCACATACATACACATGCATAGTCTTCATCTTTTTCTCGGACCCTCCACCCTACCAAACATGATATCCTTCTCTAGTGACTGGTCCCTCCTGACAACATGTTCCAAGTATGAGAGACGATGTTTGGTCATCCTGACCTCCAAGGAGCACTCTGGCCACACTTCTTCCAACACAGATCTTTCAGTTCTTTTGGCAGCCCATGGCACTTTCAGTATTCTCCTCCAACACAATAACTCAAATGCATCAATTCGTCTATGGTCTTCCTTATTCACTGTACAGCTTTTGCATGCTTATGAGGTTATTGAAATACCATGGCTTGGGTCAGGCACATCTTAGTCCTCAAGCTGACATCGAGAGTTAGAATAAACTATGACTGTGATTTTTTTCAGGTAAATATGATGGGTGAAGTGAGAAGTCAGTAGAGTTAACAGTATATTCAAGGCAATGACTTTACTGATGGACATGGAATTTAAACGAAGTGTGTAAAACCATGGGCAAAAGACGTGGCTGTCTGCTTCTGTCAAGATTACAGTCTTGGAAACCCTGAGGGGCAGTTCCACTCTGTGTTACTACATCTCTATGAGTCAGAATTGACTAGAAGGCAATGGCTTGTTTTTTGTTAGAGAGAAAAAGGAAGACATGTAAGTATTAGAGGCAGTGCAAAAGAACTGGACTAGCGGAATGAGGATCCTAATTATGTTGAAGAATATTGATGTTGGAAAGACATGGCAGACAAAGAATGGGATACAGAATGTGAGCTACATCAGGAATGCAGTTACTGGTTGAGGGAAGGTACAGCCATGATGGTATGTAACTGTAGTAGACCACTCTAGACATGATATGAAAACCTACATTTTGTTCGTTCCACGAAAGGAGATCTCACGGACTGTTATTAGGTGCTGTCAAGTTGGATCTACTCATAGTGACCACAAAAGAACAAAACACTTCCAGGGCCTGTACCAGCCTCACATTCATTGGCATGTTTGAGTCCATTGTTGCAAGTGGTGTGTCAATGCATCTCACTGAGGCTGTGGCTCTTTTACAAAAATTTTACTAAGCATGATGTCCTTTTCCAGGGTCTGGTCCCACTTATCTAGCAACTAGCTATTTGATTTAGGTACTCTGTTTAGAGATCTCTGCATAGGGTGTATCTTTAGAAAATAATTCCTTGAGTGGTTCATGTTTCCATATTATACACTAGGATAGCAAATAGAATACATACGAGCATTATATTGAATGTAGGAGGTATTTCATTCCTCCAAATGTACAATCATAAATGCTTGAATTAGATCCCTATTTCGTTTGACAGACAAACATTTTTTATTTTTTTTCCACCTGACAGATAAGGATTATGGTTAGAGTTGGGTTAGGCAAATGTTCATTCACTTTTGTGGTTATTTTATTTATACAAAATGGAATTACTGGTTCACCAGGAATTTTCCCCATAAAACTACTCACAAAGTAACACAGAGTTGAACACTAAATTGGCTTAGTTATCTATTGTTGTTGTTATGTGCCGTGGAGTCGGTTCCGACTCATAGCGACCCTGTGCAGGGTTTCCAAGGCTGTAAATCTTTACGGGAGCAGAAAGCCTCATCTTTCTCCCATGGAACAGCTGGTAGTTTCGAACTGCTGACCTTGTGGTTCACAGCCCGATTTGTAACCACTATGCTACCAGAGCTCCTTCTAGTGCCTGCTATCACAGAAATACTACAAGTGATGGCTTCAACAATCAGAAATTTATTCTTTCACAGTTGTGAATGCTGGAAGTTAAATTCAGAGTGCGGCTCTGGGAAAAGTTCTACCTTCCAGCATCTGTAGGTGCAGTGTTAATTATCACTAGTACCAGAAATATGTCAGACACCGAGCAATTTCTCTCAGCTTCCCTATATCTCACTCAGCTTTGTTAGTTACTTACTGCTTGATAGAAAACACCCAAGATTTAAAGGCTTAACACAACAAGCATTTACGATTTTACAGTTTCTAAAGATCAACAATCCAGGTACTTTTGCTTCAGATATTCTTAAGAGGTTGTAGTCAAGCTCTTAGCCTCATCTGAAGATTTAATGTTGTGGGCTGAAGGTGTGTGCTTTCAAGATCACCCACATGATTATTGTTGCTGTTAAGCGCTGTCGAATCAGTTCTGACCTATCGCGACCCTGTCTAGGGTTGCTGAGGAGTGGCTGCTAAACTTGAACTGCTGACCTTGTGGTTCAAACCAACTTTGCAGTCCAGTGCATTAGCCCACAGTGCCAGGTCACAATCTTGTTCCAGATGGGTCTCTCCATAGTTTGCCTCACAGCTTGGTAGTTGGCTTCCCACAGAATGAGCAATTCAAGAGAACTGAAAAAAGGAGAGAGCTAGAGAAATAAGAAGAGACAAAGAAAGGGAGTGCTGAAAGCAAAGCAATAGTCTTTTTTGAGTGATTGATTTTATTTTATCTTCTGTGAAAATATACATAGCAAAGAATATGCTGATCAAATTGTGCATGTACAATCCAGTGATGTTATTTACCTTCTTCAAGTTTTACAACCATTCTCTTTATTGTTTTCCAAAATATTCTACCACTTTTAATGTAAAATCACAGCTCTTATGAAATAGTCTTTTTAAACCTCATTTTCAGAATGGCAACCCATTACTTCTGCTGTAATGTATTCATTAATATCAAATTACTAAACCCAGGCCACACTCAGGGAGGGCATTATTGTGGGTTGATGACCTATACCATCTATTATGAACTGATTTAGGCAATGTAGTGGGCGGAATACTGTTCCTCAAAATTTTATGTCTTGAAAACCTCAAAATTCATCCTTATTTGAAAATAGGGATTTTACAGGTCATAATTAGTTAAGGATCAAGATAAAAAATGTACTATATTAGGGTAGACCTTAAATGCAATGAGAATGTCCTTATAATAAACAGACGAGAACCTTAAAAAACACAAAGGCAGTCTGGACAAAGACAAAGGCACAAGCCAAAGAATGCCAAGAGCCACCAGAAGTTGGAAGAAGCAGAAGACTCTTCCCTAGAGCCTTCTAAAGGAGCATGGCCCAGTAATACCTGACTACTGAAACAGGGAGAGATACATTTCTACTGTTTTAAATGCCCAATTTGTCATCATTTGTAATGGCAGCCTTAGGAAGTTAACACAGTGAGTGTTCCTAAATTATTTTCTTGTATGTGTTTGTGTATCCATATAATAGGTATGCTATCATTTTCACCTAGTGCACTAATTTTGTCAACTAAAGACCATTTTCCACATCCAATCATCACATTAGCCAAGGCTTATTGATGGAGGAGATAGCAGAGAGACTTGTGGTGTGCTGGCCATGTTGAAGGCTGATCCTTTCTGTATAGAACTTTCCTCATGCCCCGGAAGAGATGTCTGTTGGCCTATTACCTGGTCACCACTACATTTTCAGCTTAAATGGAGAATATGCAGAATATTACACTAACTCACTGAAGTTTTTTAAAAAAAGTAAATTATAGACTTTATAATGCATTCTTCTAAGACTTTCTCTAAGTCCTAACAACTCATTAGAAAGCTTCTATTACTTTGATAAATGATAGCTATAATAAAAGCATAAATAAAGAAAATAAGTTTTAAGATAGTGGAACTTGCATACACTTCTAACTTGTATAAGTCTTAAAATGGAAAATCCAGGCAAATGGAATGTCTGTGTTAAATCACACAAAACAGTCGTTCAAGCTGAGAAAGAATTTTGTTGACTCAATAAAGCTCTTTCTGTGACAGCATTTCGATCTCAGGAGTTCACCTTCCATCAACAGTCAAATAAAACTAAAAAAGGAGGGAGGCACATAAAAATGATAAAAATAGGAAATAGTACAAAACTTGATTTAAAATTTAAAAGCAAATTATATATACTATGATCATACACTATTTGTGTGTGTGTGCCTGAAAAGTAATATCTAAATGATTACCACTGGGAATTCTGAGAAGTTCTAGAAATTATGGGCATAGTATTTTACTTTTCTGTAACTTTGAATATTTACAAAGTCAAACCATTTTGTGATGCGAGCATGTTCAACCAGAACTTTCCTAGATTGGAGTACTGGAATTCCAATGTCAATGGCATTGAAAAATCCATTCTAGAAAGCCAAAAATTTGGACTCTTTGAGCAACCTAACTTAGAGATTCATTCAACATGTATTATGTTAGAACAAGCGCTATGACAATCTAATCTCTCCTAAAATCTACTTAGTCCAATTAAAGTGAAATTATTTCCTTCCCAGGTTTGGGATTGGTTAATTACTCTTTTGTGAACCAGTAGTATTTGAAATGCTGCCTACTTAAAAAAATAATAATAATAATAAAAAATAAAAATAAACCACCCTTTTTTCCAAATATAAAAATTAATTCATTAAACATGATCACATCTATCAGCTTACAGCTTCATATTTCCTAAATTCAGTAAATTGTTGTGGTTAAGCTACTTCCAAACATCACCCACTTTCAGACTGAAAAGTAGATCTTGTCTCTTATACATTGGCCCACAAAGTTGTGATTATTGAGAGTTTAACAGACGAGTCTATACATGATCTTGAACCACATCAGAGATTTTGGAAGACTAATTCAAATAGTAATCTGTGTAACCCACATGTGTCCAATTTAATTTAAATTAAACTTCATAAAATTCAGTTTCTCAGTCACATCAGTCACATTTGAAGTGCTCAAGCAATAGTGACATGTGGTTGACCTCATTCTGATTCACTGTGACACCATGTGTCTCAGAGTAGAACTGAGTTTCATAGGACTTTTAGAGACTGTTTTTTTCCAAAATTGATCACCAGATCTTTCTTCCAAAGTGCTTCTGGATAGACTTGAACCACCAACCTTTTGTGACTTCCAGTGGTTACCATATTGGATAGAATCTACTTCCACCATCACATTCCTTTTGGCTTTCCTTTATGTTTCTTTATAATGTGTGTGTACTTAAACTATGTGTAGGTAGGTCATCTCATCCACAAATTTCACTTTAGGATAGTAAAGAGAGCATTATCAGATAAGTGTAATAAAAAAGGCCCATTGGCTCTGAGAGTCTTAAGCATTCGTGTTCTAATAGACACGGGGTGTTATGGATTGGATTGTGGCCCCCAAAATAGGTATTTTAATTCCTAACCTCTATGCGAACCTTAAGGTCAGCGGTTTGAAACTACCAGCCACTCCGCGGGAGAAAGATGAGGCTTTCTACTCCCGTAAGGATTTACACCCTCGGAAACCCTGTACAGGGTCGCTATGGGTCGGAACCGACTCGACGGCACTTAACAACAACAACAACAACAATGCCTATGGTTAAATAGAGCCCTGATGTGGTGCTGTAGGATAAACACTGGACAGCTAACTGCAAGGTCAGCAGTTCAACCCCACCAGCCACTCTCAGAAACCCTATACAAGGTCTCTATGAGTTGGAACCATCTGGACGGCACATAACAACAACATGCTTATAATTATAATTCCATTTGGGAATAGATTGTCTCTGTTATGTTAATGAAGTGGGGTTACTGTAGGATGTGTCATAAATAAATCTCTTTTGAGCTATAAAAGAGATTAAACAAGGAAATGAGAGAAACAGAAATGGAGAAAGAGTGATGCCAAGCCACATAAAGATTGCCTGAGAGCAAAAGCTCTTAAGAGACAAGAGCCTTCCTCCAGAGCAGATATAGATAAACCCTTCCCTTAGGGCTGGTACTTTGAATTCAACTTCACCTGTGAGAAAATGAATTTGTTTCTTAAGCCATCCACTAGTTTCTTTACAATAGCACTATTTAACTAAGGCGCTTGCTTTGCAGGTTCTCAGGTTACCCCACCCAGCACCTGTGGAAATACTTTTCTGTTCCCAGCAGCCTGTTTCCCTGTGGGTTTTCACCCCCACAGAGCTGCTGGTTAGTGTAGTTCGCTGTTTCCACCCAGAATATGGGCTCATGAGGTTTGTGTACGTTTTTTAGATGTTACATATTCTCATACAAAAAAAATTCACATTGTGAGATTTTCAACTAATATATATATATATGTGGCTCTCTATATATATATATGTCTCTCTGGTAGCGTAGTGGTTACGAGTCGGGCTGCCAAACTCAAGGTCAGCAGTTCGAAACTACCAGCGGTTCCACGGGAGAAAGATGATGCATTCTGCTCCCGTAAAGATTTACAGCCTCAGAAACCCTGTGCAGGGTCACTATGAGTTGGAACCAACTCCACGGTAATAAACAACAACAATATATATATATACCCTTGTTGCAGGTTAATGTGCTGGACTGCAAGATCAGTTTGAGCCACAAGGTCGGCAGTTCAAGCCCACCAGCTGTACCTCGGAAATCCTGTACAGGGTCACTCCAAGTTGGAATGGACTTGATAGCAATTAACAATAACAACAACAACAAAAGTCCCTATTTTTTTTCTAAAGATCATCTTGTGGCCAGAAACTGTTATATATTTCAGTGCTCACATTTTAAGGATTCACCTAAGGTGATAGTGCTTTAATTTTCTACGAAGTGTTTGTAAAGATTATACCAGAAATCCTGGTGGTTCCATGTTTAAAAATTTAGCTGCTAACCAAAAGATTGGCAGTTCAAAGCCACGCAGAAATTTCATGGGAAAAAGAGATAACAATCTAGTCCTGTAAAGAAAACATTGTCACATGGGGTTGTTATGAGTTGAAATAAATTCGCCAGCACTTAACACCACCACCAACACAAAACTTAAGTGTTCTGGGCCTAAAAAGAAGAGATTTGAATTCAGAGTCAAAAGGCTTGGGCTTTCCTGGCTGTGCAGCCTTGAACACATCACTTAAGCACTCAGAGTCTCAGCTGTCCCAATTGCAAATGAGGATATTATATGTCTTGTCTACCTCACAGAATCTGCAATGAGATAAACTGGGATTTAAGAAAAAAATTTAAAAGGATGCCTAACATGGTAATTGTAAGTATATGAAAATATGAAATATCATTATTACTACGTTTTAGTACACGTGAGTAGCAAAGCTTTGATTCTTCTAGCAAACCTGACGTAAAGGCAACATTCTTGATCTTATTCTCAAATTCTCGGCAAATGGAACTTTGTACATTTTTAAACACTGCTCTGTGAATTTGTATCTCAGGGGTTACTAATAAATAGCTGAACTTTTAAGATTTCTTTAATACTCTAACCTCTTGTTCAGTCTGAATAAAGGCCCCCAAGATGTAACAAGTCAAAATTCCTAGAATCTGAAAATGTAACCTTGTATGGAAAAAGAATCCTTGAAGATGTGATGAAGTTAAACATTGAGAAGTTAGAAAATCATCCTGGATTAACTGGGTATGGTCTAAATCCAATTAGAATGTTTTTAAGAAATGGAAAATTTGGCACATCCAAGAAGAACAGACAGTATGACCATGGAGACAGAGATTGGAATGATGCCACAAGTGTATGCCAGCAGCAACCAGAAGCTGGAATAATCTAAAATAAAATAAAATAAAAAGATTCTCCTTTTGAGCCTGTGGAGGTAGAATGGCTCTGCCTTGATCCCAACCTTGATCCCAACCAGTGGAAAGTGACTTCTGACTTTAGCTTACAGAATTGTAAGAGAATAAATGTTTTGTAACAATTTATACAGCAGTCTTATGAGACAAATTCACCAAGCTTCTCTCTCCCACCAAAGAAAATTCTAGCTGAACTTCTGACTGACTGTGTAAGTCTCTTTCTAAACTCTCAAACTGCTTTGTTCACATACAGCTTTGGGGAAGTAATCTTAAGACTTCGAAAAATTTACAAATTCTTTCTTAATAAGAAATTGTGTGATATTTTGCCTTCTATTACTAATGCTCCCTTGTATCTGAGCTGCTTATGTTAGAAAAATACAATATTTCATCTGGTAGAAATTATTGGAATTAAATGGATAAGTAAAATATGAAGTGGGATTTCCAAAATGGAGTAACTTACATTAAGTTCTGTTTGTTGGTGTGAAGACAGATTTATTATTTCTTAATTAAGACTGAGTTATGAAATCACATTGCAGAAAGCTGTTTGGCCTTTGTTCTTGGTTCTTTTTAGCCAGACCAACATCTGTGACTAATGAGTAGGCGTAGGCCAGTCCAAGAATGACCAACTGGGTGCTGATTCTTGTTGACTAATTCTTAGGCAATTTTTCATAGCCATGTGATGAGGATAGTTAAGAGGGGCTTCCTGGTTGGTAACAATGCATGTCAGAGGATAGTGATTGCCTTTTGGGACATGGAAGCTCCAACAGCTGACCCCTGCCTCAGCTGATCCCATGTATCTCTTTGTATCCATTTTGGTGGCAATAAATCTGTAGCTTTAAATATGAAAAAAAAACAAAAAACAAAACCAAAAAACTCATGTATTCTTTCTCTGAGTTCAAAAGTTCGATAAATATCAGTGTTCTTCAATTTTACTGTACTCTCGGTCACTGTTAATAAGAGGCCTGCAACAGAGATCAGATAAATCTATGAGGAAAAACAGTAGGATTTGATCTTTGTTCATTGCATGGCAATCTGTTAACATTATTTAAAACTATATTCCTCACTTCCTTCTTTCTTTTCCCTCTTTCTTTTCATTTTGGCTTTTCAATCTATGCCAAAATGGATATTTCCCTCCTCAAGATCAAGTTCAGAGCAGGCTAATATGTTGGTGTTGTTAAGTGCCATCAAGTTTGTTCTAACTCATAGCAACCTTATATAGGGTTTCCAAGGAGCCATGGGTGGATTTGAACTGCCAACTCTGAGGTTAGCAGTCCAATTCATATCTTATAATACCTCATCAGGACTGCAGGCTAAAATGGCCGTGGTGGTTGTTGTTTGCCACTGAGTTGCTTCTGACTCACAGCATCCCTGTATAGTGTTTCTGAGGCTGTAAATCTTTATGGGAGCACAAAGCTTCATCTTTCTCCAGCGCAGTGACTGGTAGATTCAAACTGCTGACTTTGGCTTAGCAGCCTCGTTCATAATCCACTATGCTACCAGAGCTTCTTCCAGGCTAAGATAGATGGCCAAAAAACAGGCTCTTTAAGCTGAATAATAATATCTAAGTTAGGTAATAATTATAAATATTACTTATAGTTGATCATATCCAACGAAATAAGACTGATTCACAAGTATATCCTTGTGATATCCTTGTGAATCTGACAAGTTTCTACCTAACTTTGTAATCTT